GTCTGTTTAATACCTTACACAGTCAAAAAAGTCAAATTGCTGAAACTAAACAAAATTGTGCTCCACTGGAAAATGAGACACTTGGTAATGGTTTGCCCAAATAAAGTTCCATATAAAGCAGGATATATGAGTTATAAGGTAAGATAAGCCTTTATTAGTCCCACAGTGGGGACTTTCTTAAAGTCTCCAGAGATGAGTATAAGTACCTGTGGGTGCAGGGCGTCAAAGGCAGCCTCAGCGTTAGCAGAGGGGAGAATGTACGCAGCTATTGCGATAACATGCGAGAATTCCCTAGGTACGTAGATCGGCCTCATGCTAATGGCTAACAGTTCAATGTCCTTACAGCAGATTTGCTCCTTAATAGTGATGTTTCCAGAGTTACACCATCTATCATTCACAAATACTGCCAGCCCTCCTCCTTTCCTCTTACCACTGTCCGATGTCCTGTCCGCCTGTATGAGCTGGAAGTCGTCCAAAGTGACTACCGTGTCCGGAGTTAGCGTAGTTAGCCATGACTCTGTAAACAGCATGACGCTACACTCGCGGTACTCCCTCTGATGTCGGATCAGCACCGTCAGCTAGTCCATCATATTGAGAAGAGATCTTACATTTCCCATGATGACTGAGGGAAGAACAGGTCTATAACGTCTCCTTCTGGCCCTTGGCAAACAATCAAAGTAAAGAAATTTAAAAAAATAAATGGAGAAAATCACAGAAAGTAAGAAAAAAGCTCAAAGTGAGCTGGACCTGCTGCAACAGGCTGCCACTCGCGTCTCTTTAGTATTTGGCAGCAAAGCAAAAACAGATATGATTTGACCGTTGGGCTTTATCACACTTACTATCTGTATGTGCTGTGAACTTGACTAACTTTGATAAAGGCCTTTGCCCATTTGCATGCACTGTGCCTTTTAGTGTTGAGGCAAAAATCTTACCTTTTTAATGTTCTCTTCTACTGTGTAAACTGAATTTCTCAGTGCTGTCATCACATGTATTGTGGCCTGATGTAACAAAGCTGAAAATGTATAGGTTGTTATTTCATGTCACAAACTACCATTTTGAGCAAGCAAACAGAAGAATAGAATACAAGTCACTCTTCAGTCTCCTTTTTAGTGAATCTGATGAAGCAAATCTATAATAAACCTGTTGCAATCTGAATTCTGTTCTGAATGAATGCTTCTTTTATATAGCCATAGGTAGCACTCAGAGCTAAAGTCTGTATCATCATTTATAATACAGTTCAATAAGTCTGTAAGTAGGGGTTACTTCTCTTTCTTTAAACCAGCATCATTTAATAAAAATGAGTTTCTTTTCACAGGTGTAGCACTCGAAACGGAAACAGACTCAGCTCTGATCCGAACATGGAATGGACCAGAAGGGCCATGAGTAAGGTTGATATGGAAAAGAAAAAAGCATCAGAGAAGAGCAAAAAGAACAGCGCTGCACTGACATCAGATTCACCAGCAGAGGCGTCGGAGAGGGGGCATCCCTGCAGACACCGACCAAGCTACCAGTGAACAGCAGGTGGCTTCAAGAGTCAGCAGTTTCAGCAGCACCAAAGAAGCAGCATGAAGCAGAAGGATCAGGGAAGTCTACTGAAGTACCGTGGGGCTCTAAGAGGCAAGGTAAGGGAGGAAAAAAGAAGACAAAGGGAAAGAACAGAGTGAGAAAGAGAAAAGTGAAAAAGACAAGTCAGTAAATGGTGAATGCACACCTGCATAAGTTGTGAGGTGTTATCTTGTGAGTGAGGTTGAACACTGGCTAGCGTGCTCGTGGCAAGGCAAGGTGAATTATCAGAGTTCGGATGAGACATGATAGTGGGTACCAGACGGATGGGACCTTCCATTTCTGAAGCTGTGCAGGCATTTGACATTCCTCAATCCACAGTGTCACCCGGAATACATCATAGAAGGCACTACCACTCGTACTGGATGCAGTGGCCGCCCACGAGTGCTTAATGATCGTGACCGGTGGCATCTGCCTAGAATTGTCTGTGCAAACAGACAAGCGACTATGGCAGAAATCACATCCACATTCAATGCAGGAAGCTCTACACGCTTATCCCACAGATCAGTGCAGTGTTCTTTACCTTCCATGGGATATGGGAGCAGAAGACCCACCTCTGTGCCTCTGTTAACACCACCACCAAGGATAATGCACCGAAACCATCAGGCCCAAGTTGTCAAGAATTGTCATTGGTTTGAGGAGCATTCTAGAGAGTTCCGACGAATAATGTGGCCTGCACGTTCGCCCAAGCTCCTGTTATCTTCTAAACCCTCCAATCACTGCTTAGCAACCGCTGCTATGTGCAGTTGTCAGCGTCAGGCCCCCGAGGTCCTCAGAAGTTTCTAATGGGTTTTATGAGATTCAACGTGGAAAAAGCGATGAAACTACACAGTGAGCAGTGAGAGGTTCTCAGCTGACCTCACAAGAGCTGCGGTTCGGCCCTAGACTGAGCTGCCTGCTCTGTTTATCTCTGTACAAGATGCTACGCTGCCCTGAGTCCCAGAGTGACTTTGACTTCTTGAAATGAGAAATCTATATTGAAAGAAAAAAAACATAAAATGTGGCATGTGCAACAATTATGGTACATTTTGTATTTTATGTTTTATTTGTATTCCGATATTTCTTTCAACATTTGTAAACGCATAAGTTGCCTTTCAAGGAACACAGAAAATCAACAAAAACAACAAAAAATAAAATTTACGTATGACTGTAGAATCATGACAACTCAAAGAACCATTGAGTGCTTAAATGGTCTGAAAGCACTTCTGTTTGCCGTTCAGAGAGTGGCTCTTCTTATATGTGCTGTTCTAATTGTGCTGTAGTTGCTTCCACAAGGTTATGATGGTTGATATAATGTATTTCATCAACTATTATTATTATTATTATTATTATTATTATTGTATCACTTTATTTTAAGGAACAAATACATTTGGGCTTTATTGTTATCGCTCTTTTTTCAGTAATGCCCAAATAAGGCACTTGTAGATGCTACATTTATTTTCATTTGCATTAGTGTATAGTTAGATGTCTCATATGTGAAAATCAGTAATAATCGCTTTATCAGTTGCATCATCAGTAATAATACACAATAAACCACAGGTGGGTCACTGATTTTGGATGTCTCAATTAAAGATCCTGTGGTGCATGCAGTACACTGATAATCCACCAGGGGGCAGAAGAAATGTATCTGATTTATACATCAGGTTTTTCAGGAAAAAAAATATCCCAGTGATGATGTAGAGGTTTCATAAAACTCATATCAGATATGATTCTCTTGGCATTAAAGAGTTAATACTTTGTAATGCTGATTGTTGAACATAAATAATCATCTAAATTCGTATTAATTTATAATTGGCAGCATTTATTTATAAAGCTCACAATGGAGAAAGCGTAATGCATCGTGAATAAACCAGTCAGGAGTGTCTAATTTGGGCTTTATTGAATGAAAAGTAAGGCCTTAATTAAGACCTCATTATTATTCAGCGTAAAATTATGTCCTGATGGAGAAGCTGTTATATATATAGTTATTTAAGGTCATGTTTTGGTACTCAATACAACTGTTTTGCAAAAAATGTGTATTTCAAACACTTAAACTCCGTTGTTCATATACTATTGTTTTTTATTTATTTATTTTTATTTATTCATTTTTTTTCTAGATGTAAATGTGTGATGTTTCACCATTTTTACAGCTGGTTTAATTGTGAATAATGTCACTGTCTGACAAAAAGCCCTAAATGGTAACCTTTCAGGAAAAGTTCATTGTTAGGCAGTGTAAATTTCACACAACAAATGCTGAACACCTGTTACCAGAGTAACCAAACAAAGAAGAGGCACTTTGCAAACCCCAGCTATATATTTTGGTCCTTTTGAATGCTAATGTAAAAGTTTATTTTATGATCTTGATGATTCAGTACTCCTAATACGCATTCACGCTCTTTCAGGAGAATGAGTTGCCCCTTCACCGTGTATACATGTCAGCGTTTATCAAAAATATCCAAAAATATAATAAATAAAATTTGAAAGAATTTTAATAGCATGGATTTTTCTTTCCTGTTGTTACAAGTTACAAGAATAAATTAGAACTGGAAAAGTCCAAATATACAGAATAGACTGATGTACAAACAGTGCATATCACTCTTATCCTATTTAGCTGAATAGCTAAGTCAGGGATGTTTCAGGCACGTCTCAAATGAAAATGAAACCGCAGCCGTCCCTCCATCACCTCCCGCTGTCTAGTTTGTTAACATCTGTAGTCCACTTTGTTTTCAAGGCAGTGGACATAAATGAATGACCAGTATTTTTGGGGTTAGTCTTATCCTAGCCTGACACCAGAGCGCTTTTGTTTACTCTTGTACTGCCAAAAAGGAGCTGAATGACTTGGTCAGCTGCTGATCGTTCTCAGGGTTTGTGTGTGAAAGAAGTCGTTGACCAGCTGGTATTGAAACGTGAATGACAAACATTTTCCAATTGAATGCAGTGTCTGACGGTCGGATACACGGAGTGTATGGCAGCCAAATGACTTGAAATTCGACTTGACTTAAAGTTGGCTCGAATATTCTGTTCCACCTTAAATGGTGCAGCAATTACGTTCAGGCACCTGTACAGGTTCCACAATGTAACAGCTGCTCCATTTAAGGTGAAACGGAAAATCTGAACCAAAAGCTGGTGAATAAGCAGCTAATTTCAGACTTGGCTCAACATTTAGCATTGTTTTTTGCTGGGTCTGTGGTGCTTGTTTTAAAAAGCAACACTGGTAAAGCTTCATATATATATTTTTTGCAAAATAAAACTATTAAAATCTTTCAGATTTACTTGTTAAAGGTTGTTAAAATGGTTCTTATTTAAAAGTGAAAGGAGAATAATAAGCTGCTGTTTATCTACAAAAATAGGTTCACTTAAGCATTTTAAATGGTTTTATTTGGAAAAATAACACTGCAACATATAACAAAACCAAAGAAACCAAAGCAAAGAATAATGAAGCCTTGTTCACAATCATGAAAGTTTCAATAAGGAAAGATTTTATTTGCTTTCAGTTGAATAAAGACATTTTTGACTGCAGGGATCAAAAAATGACCTTAAACTACATTAACTAAAACATTTAGTTGATGCAAGAAAAACACCATCAAATCACCACTTCACGAGCATCCCTATGTATGGAAATGCAGAATTAATTATTAATTATAGTTAGAAGAAATTCTTCATGAAGCGTCGGTGAAAAAGTGAAGCCATCGGTCTTCTTTTCCCGTGAGATGCTATATGCAGCATCTGTGTAGAGAGAGATTGTTTAGAGAGGCAGATTCGTTGTTGTTGTGATGTCATTGTTTTACAGTGCCTGTATGTAAGATGTTGAAATGTCATTCCAAAAAATGAACGTACCCATTATTGTAACCACATTCGTTGCTGCTAAGAAGGGTTCCCCCTATTTTCTGACATTCAGAAAATGTTTTACAAACTCCACTTCCACTTCTGCAGCACGTTCCATAAACCAGACTGTTCTCACCTGACATCAGGAAAGAGAGAAGGAATTCGATTTCGGTTAGAGTTATTATATATATAGCATTCCCATAGTATCGCAGTGTCGCAGCAAAACATTTGAGGTATTTGTCTATGCATTTCTCAGAAATATACTTTATGAATACTAAAGAAAGCAGATTAGAGAGTTTTCAGTGCAGTAAGTACATAATAACATTGCCAAAAATATGACTTACAGTGAAAGGCTAACACCAGAAGTAGCACAACAACAAGCACTGCTGTAGGTTTCATCTTTCCACAGGGCTGATTCTCTTCAAGCAGGATTCTCAGTGTGGCGTTTGGTCAAAATCGGCCGGCTTTTATTTGCATCTGGGAGTTTGAATCCCACCCACTTCTCAAGGATGTGCCCATTACCGCTTTAGCATTTGTCAACAACAGTCCCTCAATTCCGCACAGCAATAAGAAGTCCAAAGTTTGGAATTGATAACAGAATCTGCCATATGGGAGATGTGAAGCAGTGGTACTCACGCATGACTAAGAGATGAAATAAAAGTGATGGCCATGACGTTTTCCAGTGTCCTGTTCAGATCTGATTACAAATAAATATGCAAAACAATTAATAATAGCATTAACAGTAGTTTAATGTACACTAGTATTGGAGTCAGTATACTGACATTACAGCACATTGTTCTGTCATTATATATATATATATATATATATATATATATATACTGAAGGTAATAGCAGTATCAGCCAGAGCCGGTCAGACTGAGCCAATAATAATGTTAAAAATACATCCCGCTGCTCCATATGATCATGTTGATCTTAAATATGATGAAAATGATCTATTTTAATGAATGTTGGAAAAAGAAAGCAGCCCAAAGCCACTGGCCCAAGGCCAATATCTGCAATGCAGGTGTTTCAGCTGAAGTTAAGTTCGCCACCTTTCATCAAAACACGGTTAAACTAGCCATGTTTGAATTGTGAGGCTCTCTGTATGTTATACTTCATTCTACAACTATGACTAGTCAGCATTGTAATTCTTAGGCACAACCAGGAATACCAACTACCTGTTTCACTACCGATCAGTTATTGTGCTTCTAAACTGTGGAGCTCAATTCCAGCTTTTATTTGACAGTCAAGCTCAGTGCTCACTTTTAAGAAGCATCTAAAAACGTATCTCTTTAACTCAGCATTTAATGAAAGCTCTACGTCTCGTGGTGTTTATCTTCTAGTTTCATCTGTTTCCTTTTCTTCTGATTCGAAATAAATACTAATGCTTTCATGTATAACTATGTTTTATCACCTGTCTGTAAAGCACTTTGAGCTGCCACCGGCATGAGAAGTGCTATATAAATAAAAATTATCATGATTATTATTACCAGATTTAACAAGCCCTCATCCACTTAGCCTCATCGTTTTCCCCATGAAGGAATCCCCAGCGCCATTTTAAGGACCGTTCCATAACTTTATTAGCTCAAGTCAAGGGTGTTTGATGAGCCCATGGAGGGCCGAGGGATCAAGTGAACATAAGTGTCGACTTCGGGAATCATTGCAACCTGATGCATTTGCCTTTTCAAACCCAACTGACCCAACTGTCGACAAAGCTGTCTATAAATCATAGCAGTAAAATTTTAAATGCTTAACATTTCAAAACCGTAACATTCAATTCGCTGGGCTTTAGATTACAAACTACTCCATCTGTTATATAAGACTGCTGAAGCATTTTCATCACTTTGCTAGCTGGCAACACAAATGTTATTCTGCATTGCCAAGTTTGCATGGCTAGCCAAGAACTTCAGGAAAAGAGCAGAATAAGAACAAATTCACAACACTATAAAATGATTATCGCACATAAGTAGTCCAAAAGACGAGATAAAGTAGACGCCTGCATTGGCAAGCACTGTGTTGAGTGATGGGGAGAAGGAGGGCCAATAATGCTTCCTTGGACTTCTCGCCATGGATGGCTTTGGCATTGCTGGGGATTGAAGTTGCGATCTCCCAGTGATAGTGTGGTATTGTAATAGATATATTACTATTATAATCAATAAGAAATCCATAATCATATACTAAAAAGTTGATTAACAAAAGTGTCTTAATCCTCTCACTAAGGATAGGCCTTGCTGTGTGTAGGTTGATTACTCCATCGCCCCCAAACAGGGTATAAAAAATGATGTTTCTGTAATGTACTTTGCATTTGGCTGTCCGGAAACCATCTGAAGCTTAATAAATGAAGCTTAATAAAGCTTAAGCTTAATAAATGAAGAAGGTCTTTTCCTTCCTTCAAAATGAACTCAACGGCTGAAGTCTATTATTCAACTTTCTTTTATTTCTGACTGAACTTTATTTTATTTTGCGTTTATGATGTGAACAAGCAGTCAGATTTATTAAAGAACTGAAACATAGTTATAGAACAGCTTAGTGTTTAATTATCCATATGTTGGGGCTCTGAGCGAGCGGGAATCACACTTATTCCCGACAATAGGGTCAGCGCTTTGGCAGTTTTTTTTCTTTTAGAGGCAAAAAAAAGCTGGTTTGACTGGCTTTTTTTATGCAAGCTGTTCCTAATGTTCATAAATCATCTACTGTTAGAACAGGAGGATCTAAATGTCTTGAGACTATTTCCTGCTGGTGGCCCGAGTGACATGCCATCAAATTCCACGTACTAAATACCTTCCTTTCTTATCCTTGAGTCAGCTCAGCGTCCCATTTCTGGCTTAAAACAGAAATGTTAGCCTCCTCATAAGGTGAAAGAAAGCGTTCAGTCTGAAATCTAAGCATGTTCATAATCCTACAAGATGGTTATTTCACATGAGAAGTCCAAACTAAAGCTGTTTGTTCAGAGTGTATAATACTGTGCATATAATTGCTAAATAAATTGATTGAAGCGCATATTAAAGTAACCAGTAGCTGAGTCATCAGATCTGTCATCATATTTGATTATAAGCCAATTTTAAACACATAAAAAGTGGGGTAAAAAAAAACAAAACACAACAGTTGAGAATGTCATGTTATGCACATAGTAAAATAAACTGGTTTTACTGTAGAATTAATTGGAAAGACAGTGTAAAAACTGAGTCACCTTGTATATTGAACTGATCCAGAATAGTCCACCAACCAAAAACATTAGGACAATGCAAAAGCTTATATCCTTGTTTTTTAACCAGTAGTTTTTAATATTATTGTGTTGTGAAGTCGTTTCTGACTTCTGGTGACCATATAGATCATATAGATGTGTTTCTCCAGAAAGGTTTGAATAAAATAGAAAGTTATGGATACCATATTTGAGTGTGTTATGCAGTGGAAATTGTATTATGTTTGTTATGCTGAGGTCTTAAGAATATATTAAAAAGCATTGAATTTGATTTTGAAAATTGTGCAGCAGCCTTGAATAGTTCCTTTGTGATATTACCTTGGACTGTCACTTTCAGTGTTAGAAGTTTTTGTATACTTTGCAAGTTTTTTTAATACCTTTGTATTTGTATGTTTGCCACTCACGATGAGTGGACCTTTCATAGAATGTAGACTTTTCATTATTTCACAAATGAAGTAATGTTTACATCTTTGCTTTGCTTTCCACCGGACAGTGTGCACTGTGATATGTTTCATGACCACATCTGTCCTCACAATTTGTCCTGCACAGGTTAGTAATTCCAGTGAAATGTTTTGGTAGGTGATGATTAAGTAGATAAGATTTTACATTCAAATAAAAAGAGACAAACATCACTAAAATACAATTTATTAACCACCACAAAATGATTAATACAGTTAACACATTACATAGTCCACAGGGTCTTACTAATTTAAGCAATTTAGTTTTATTAAACATTTATGATTTGGACACCTCCTCAGGAAAATCAGAAGTACAGTAAATCTTTAGACTTGTTAGTAAATCTATTACAAGATTCTCTATAAAGAAAAAAACAGTAGTTACGATGAATATTTTATGATTTAGTAAATATGATCATCTTTTGTTGATGCTTGAAAGTCTTCATTATCACAGCATCAACAGTTTTCCTGTTTCTTGATTGGAGTCCGAAGTAAGATTGGAGTCCTCTTGGTGACGTCCCATAAGACTTGGTTATGATCTTGGAGGATCGAGCCATGGATTCTCTGATGATACTTGCCATGGGTCATATACAACACCTGAAGACCAAGAATATAGTTCAGTGATATAGTGACCGTACACTTATAGATTTATGGAATGAATGATGTTTGAGAGTGTAAGAAAGTTAAAGATACCTTGAGAACAGACCACATTCTACTCTAACGGCAGGATGTCCCCCAAATCTCCGGCAATCGCTGTATGATTTACAGAGTCCTTTTCCATTATAACAGCATTTTGCATCCACCACACTGTCCTCACCTATGACCATAAAGTAATATTGAGAGTCCATGTTTTCACAATGTTGTGTTTAATTTACAATTATATTACAAAAAAGAGGAAGACTTACAGTGTAACGACAGCACCAGCAGCAGCACGACAACAGCCACAGACAAGGATTTCATGTTGGCTTGTTTCTCTTGAACAGGTTGTCTTCAGTGTAGCCCTGGACAAAAACTGCTGGATTTTATTTACAGTGAGAAGTTTAAATCCCACCCACCTCCCAACAAGCCTGACCAATACTGCTTTACTATAGTCATAAAGCATAAACACCAGTCCTTTATTTCCTTTGAGTCCAAAGTTCAAACTGGATAATTGCATCTGAAGCTGAGGGAGCCCATAAGGATTACCACATGTAGGACACTTAATAGGAAAACTTTCCAACTCTGCTGCATTTGTTCCATCAGCAGCCATGATCAATCATACTGGTACATGTATCCCAAACATACACTGTATTGCTAAAACTGTGGACGTCCCTCCTAATTATTAAGTTCAAGTGTTTCAGCCACATTCATTGCTAACCAGTGTATAAAATCAACTACATAGTCTTGCAGTCGCCATAGACAAAGAATGACAGTAGAATAGGTCAGACTGAAGATCTCAGTGACTTTCAACCACGGACTCTCATAGGAAGCCACCTTTCTGCCCTGCTGGATCAACTGTAAGTGCTATTATTGTGAAATGGAAGCATCTAGGAGACACAACAGCTCCTACAATGAAGCAGCAGACCATGCAGATATGCAGAGTGGTGAAGTACACAAAGATTCACTACAGATTCCAAACTGCCTTTGGAAGCAACATTAGCACAAGAGCTGTGCATCTAGAGCTGGGTTTCCTTCGCCGATCAGCTACATGCAAGCTTCGCTATCTGGTAGTCTGATGGACAAATCTGGGTTTAAATGCCAGGAGAACACTACCTACCAGAATGCATAGTGCCAACAGTAAAGTTTGGAGGAGGGAGGATAATGGGCTGGGGCTGTTTTTCAGGGTTTGTGAATGCATGCAAAGAAATTTTAGACACATTTCTAAGATTCCAACTTTGTGGCAACAGTTTGTGGAAGACCCATTCCTGTTCCAGCATGACTGGCCCCTGTGCACAAAGCACAGCTCATAAAGACAAGGTTTGACAAGTTTGGTGTGGAGGAACTCTAGTAGCCTCGACCTTAACCCCACTGAATACTTTTGGTATGGATTTGAATGCTGATTGCGAGCCAGGCCTTCTTGTTCAACGTCAGTGTCTGACCTAACAAATGCTTTTTTGACTGAGTGGGCACAAATTCCCACAAACTACACTCCAAAACCTTTTGGAAAGACTTTCCAGAAGAGTTGAGGATGTTGCGGGGAGCGACTCCTTTGGTTTTGGAATGGGATGTCCAACAAGCTCATTTAAGTGTGATGGTCAGGTGTCTAGAGACTTTCAGCCATACGGTGTATAATGTCGATAAACAAAATGTTTTTGAGTCACCCACCAACTATAACCATGTTCTCTATATTTATTCCTAGTCTAATCCTCATTTCTAAAGCTAATGGTTGTCAAATTTTTAAATGTTTTTGTTTTGTGAATTTAAAACATTATTTCCCTTGTACCTCTGCTTGTAGGTGCATGATATTAATACCAATATGTGGGTCTGTTTATGCCTGTAGCTGCCTGCATTCATTTAAAAACGCTGCTGCTTGCCTACAAAGCCAAAAATCGACCAGCTCCTTTATATCAATTGTAATGCAGCAATCAATTAAAATGCAGCACCATCTCAGACATCTCTTTGAAAAGAACATGAATCTTGTGCCTTAAGAAGTGCAGAAGTGTATATACACATACACACAGTACTGTGCAGCAGTCTTACATACCTAAGCACAATTTTAAAACCATTTATCTTGGCAATTAGTGTGTTTTTGCTTGTAAAAACACTGTCATTAGAATAAATATAAATAAACATAAAAAATAATCAGAATATTAGTATTCTTTTATTAAGCATCTAATGAAATATCTATTAACTGCAAAACCAAATTCACCTTTGTAACTCATGGTATCAAAGCTGTTATTACACGTGGTAGAGCAGAAAATGTTTACAACGAAAACATAGCCATGTTATTTACTATCTAGGCTGGCGGCCTGTCCAGGGTGTTTCCTGCCTTCCGCCCAGTGAGCACACGGGTATCTGTATGATTATCCTCCCATTCGTGTAGAGAATGTCCTTTATTGCCTCCAGTGTATACAAGATATATCTACATGTTTTATGTTAGTCTAATTGTCATATTTACAATCTTTGCTCTTCTTATGTTGGGCTGCTATACCAGGCTGGTTAGATAAGGATTAGAGTGGAGACTGTTGATGTAATCTGTGTATTTAGATATCTCCAATTTTACTGAGGCTTGTTATTATCAAGGTTTACTCAAAGATTATGACACTCTTGCTGTTATAGCTCAGTGGCATTATGCTTTGGGGTGTTCACGTTTGTCATACTGGCATGGATAGTGCCATATGTTAGACACCAAAATTAGACTTTATGGGGTCGTAAATGTTGGGTGGGCATGGCAGTGCTTCAGGTGATTAGTACACAAGACAAAGCAGTCGGAAAAGTGAAAGTAATGCTGACAACTTTAAGTAGCAAATGCTGACTTTTGTGTGGGGGAAGATATTTTGATGCTTCTAAAATAGTTCTGATAAAGATTTAATTTCAGTTTAGTTCCATTTCCTCTGAACAAATGTTTCATTTTAGCGACACAGTTTGTTGTTTTCTGTGTGATGAAATAGCTTTAGTAAATGTTGGCCTGTGTAAAAAGACATGCAAACTTGATAACATCTGCAAAACATGTCCAGCCCGTATCAAGACTTCTTACACCCTGTCTTGACTTCAGGCTATTTAAAAAGTTATGAAATGGCAGAACTAAGCAGATTTTTAATACATTTCTGCATAATTTAGAGGTTGCAATATATACAAAGGCATGCAGAGTGGTTTCACATAAAATGGTTCCCTGCAGAGAAACGTACTGATTTCTTTGACAGTGTTGATGATAGAAACCAGGGGCCGTATCACAGAAACTTCCTATCATTTTGTCTTAACTTAAGATCTGACAGGTCAAGAGGAGCTTTTTCACAAATTCGTAAAACAGAAGCGAAACTTAATTTATTAATCTTATCTTTCAGCATCTTATCTTACCTCGAATGAGGGAATCTTAACTTACTCGATCAAAGTTGACAATCAACTGTCATGTCTGTTACTTAGCAACCGACCGTACGCACACAGCTGAAAAGTAAACATGTAATCAAAATAGTCGAGTTAGTTAGCCAGACAGCTAACGTTAGCTATCGTTACTGAAGGGTCAAACAAAACTAAAGTGCTTTGTGCTGTTTATCAGAGCGTCGCTGCTCTACAGTTTCACTTTCAGTTTCCCAAACGCCTCAGCTGAATGTGCTAATGTTATTCCTTCTAATAAACGTGTTCAGAGTGATGGTCAGTGGTTTAAAGCATGCAGGAAAGCTCTGGAAAGATGAATCATGCTTTGCTATCTGGTAGTCTGATGGACAAATCTGGATTTGGTGAATGCCAGGAGAACACTACCAAAAAAAGTTTGGTGGAGGAGGGATAATGGGCTGGGGCTGTTTTTCAGGGTCCCTTAGCTCCAATGAAGTGTAATGCCAGCATACAAATTTTAGACAATTATATGATTCCAGCTTTGTGGCAGCAATTTGGGGAAGACCCTCTCCTGTTCCAGCATGACTGACCCCTGTGCTCAAAGCAAAGTACATAAAGACGTGGCTTGATGAGTTTGGTGTGGAGGAACTCCAGTGGCCTACACAAAGACCTGACCTCAACCCCACTGAACACTTTTGGTATGGATTTGGATGTTGATTGCAAGCCAGGACTTCTTGTTCAACATTGGTTTCTGACCTCACAAATGTTCTTTTGAATGAATGGGCACAAATTCCCACAGACACACTCCAGAACCTTTTTAAAAGCCTTCAAAGAAGAGCTAAGGATGTTAAGGTCTTAGTATTAACACTGTTATCACACATGGTAGTGCAGAAAATACTGTGACAACATCTTGTATTTGAAAAGTGGTAGTCAAATGTCAAGGTACCTCAATTACTACAAATGCATTGTATATTATTAATAACAAAGTTGCAATCTGAGTCTTTAGAGCTTCTTTTCAATGGGTATCTGTATGATTATCTTCACGTAAGGGTGGAGAAAGAATATCCTTTATTGCCTCCAGTGTATACAAGATATATCTGCATGTTTTATGTTAGTCTAATTGTCACATTTACAATCTTTGCTCTTCTTATGTTGGGCTGCTATACCAGGCTGGTTAAATAAGGCTTAGAGTGGAGACTGTTGATGTAATCTGTGTATTCAGATATCTAAAACTTTACTGAGCCTTGTTATTATCAAGGTTTACTCAAAGATTATAACACTCTCAAGTAGAGCTCTTGCTGTTATAGCTTGATGGCATTATGCTTTGGGGTGTTCACGTTCGTCATCCTGGCATGGATAGTGCCATATGTTAGACACCTACATTGGACGTAATTAGGTCATAAATATTGGGTGGTCATGGCAGTGCATCAGGTGATTGGCACACAGTTTGTCTTGTCTTGTCTTGTTTTGTTTCATCTTCATGGCGTCTAGGCTGAACACTTAATGTGTCCGATGAAGAGGTTAGGTAAATTAGTTCTGTGTTATATTTTTTTTGTTTCTAAAATTGTTCTGATAAGTTCAATTTCATTTCCTCTGAAGAAATGTTTCATTTTAGCGACACTTTTTGTTGTTTTCTAAGTCATGAAATAGCTTTAGTAAATGTTGGTCTGTGTAAAAACATGCAAGCTTGATAACATCTGCAAGCATATCCAAGCCCATACCGTAGTCCACTGCAGCTATTATTTAAGTTGCACTGACTCCGTCTTGACTTCAGGCTTTTTATATTATTTTTCTATTAAAAAATTATGAAATAGTAATTCTAAGCAGATGTTATAATACAGTTTTACATAATTCAGGATTTGAAATATAAAAGTCGTTCAGAGTGGTTTGATATAAAATGGTATAATGCAGAGGAACTTGCTGATTTCTTTACAGTGGTGGTGATGGGAACCAGGGGTCACAGTGTCTACAACACAAATATAGCCATGTTATTTACTATCCAAAACCACCAGTAGATCTACACATGACTTCTAAGTTTTTGTATGTAATGTTGATGATTGTTAAA